TGGGCGTGAAAAGACAAGCATATTTCAGTACAGCTTCTGTCTAGAGGATGAGGTGGTAGGGAGATGGACGTGGCAAAGGTGAGAGATGAGTGAAAGATCTTTCAGCCATCCTGAAACAATGGGAAATCAGTTGACAGGTCCTATAGAGAGTGACACATCAGATTTGTAATTGAGGGAGTTTTCCTTCTGCAAGGAAGAAAGTTGGTTGGCAGGAAGGAAAGGGAGTGACACACACATGGCTCCTCATTTCGAATGGCTGTCATAGTAACCAGGCAGGAAACCATGGTGCTGGAACTGAAGTATTAATGATGGCAAGAAAGAGAAGTAGGTAAATTAAAAAAAATAAATAAATAAGTATATAAAATTTATGTCTGTGCTTGTGGTCAGACGGTTGGGTAGGGGTTTGCAGTGAAGGAGCCACATCTAGGAAGATAGGGGTTTCTGCTTGGGCAGTGGTGTAGATAATATTATTTATTGTTCACTGGCTTCCAGGAATATAGGAGGAAGAACTAGATTGGGTTTGGGGAGGAAAGTTGAGCATATTTTAAGTAGAACTTAAACCAGCTGGAAATGTGGCTCCAAATAAAGAGCGAGATCTAACTAGAAACATAGATCTTGAAGTAATTGGCAAAAAATAACAGTGATGGAAGCCTTGGGAGTGGATATAGTTTCCCATTCATTAACTCAACATACATTAATTGGCCATCTAGCATGGCCTGTGCTAGGAACTGGGAATCTCAGCAGTGAATGACATGGGGATATGGTCCCTGATATTAATGAGTTTATCTTTTAATGAGGGTAGAAATGCCTTAAATACAATTGTACTTTAATTATAGTTGAGGTGAGTACTGTTGTAACAGAAGGATCTAACTTATCCTGGGCAGGTATCCCTGAGGACCTGATGCTTTGACTTAGTACTAAAGATTGAAGAGATAAGAGGGGAAGGATTTTGAGGAAGAAGATAGCATGACTTCTTCAAGGAATAGGAAGAAGGCCTTCAAGGAATAGAGCGTGTGCATGGGAACATAGTCAGCAAGAGACGGCCATGGAAGCCTGAGGGAGAGGTTGTGTGAACAACAGAGACTATTAAACAGTGGGTCAAAGAAGAACTCCCAAGAATCCATTGGATTTAGCAGTGTAGGGCCATTGATGTCCTTAGAGCAGCTTCTGTGGCTTGGATAGAGGAGCCAAAAGAATGAATTAAAGAATAAGTTGGTGGTAAGAAAGTAGAGTAGTACGGACAATTCTTCCACGAATCCTAGCTGTCATTTCTTTTTTTCTTTTTTTTGGTTTGTTTGTTTTTGCTTTTGTACGAATCCTAGCTTTCAAGAAAAGAAGAGACAGGGCTACATGGATGTGAGGGTGTTCATAATTTTTTAATTTTTATTTAAAAATTTTTGAAGAGGTAATATATGCATGTGATTTAAGAAACCGAAATGTTATAAAAAGCCAGATACTGAAATCTTCCACCCCGTGACCTAGTTCAGTCTCTCACTCTTAGCAATTTAATATGTCTTTTAGAGATTCTTTATATACACAAGCATTTATATCTCAAAGGTTTGGTTTTATTTTGCTTTTTAAAAAATGGGGGAAGCTTATGTGCTAGCGAGTACCAGTAGAGAGAGAGAAACTGAAGAAATAGGAGAAGAGGAATAGTTGATAGAGGAAGTACTTCTATTGTATCCACATCCACCTTCTCTCTAGTTAGATGTTTGTGCAAGGCTGGAAATTAAGGCCATTTGTGCCTGGTGGTTTCTGCTTTCTCTCCCCATAACGAAGAAAGGTCACATGCTGCTGAGAATAATGGAGGAGGTGGGGGATAGGAACATTGAGTAAAGTAGAGGAGGTCTGAAATAGCCTACTTGGGAAATGGAAAGAATGCTGTCTGGGGAACAAAAGGGTTGTTACTATTATGAATTCATGTTGAGGGGCTAGTTCAGGGGTCCTCAAACTTTTTAAACAGGGGGCCAGTTCTCTGTCCCTCAGACCGTTAGAGGACCGGACTATAGTTAAAAAAAAAAACTATGAGCAAATTCCTACGTACACTGCACATATGTTATTTCGAAGTAAAAAAACAAATGGGCAAAAACACCCGCATGTGGCCCACGGGCCATAGTTTGAGGACGCCTGGTACTCTAGTTGAACTTAAAGGGTACAAATTGTAGTCGTACTTAGTCTCGGTGCCATGTGATTTTTCTGCAGCAGTGTTCTTGCCACATCACATACAGAATGCTTTCTGAGAAAACAATGGGCATTTAACATACTTAGTTCAGCAATAAAGAACAACAGTCTCCATGCACATCGATGGGATTTCTGTCTTAGTAAACAATACATATTACCCACAGCTTTGGCTTTTTAAAGCATACAGGTACGTCTATGTCTCTAGAACCACCACTGTACTGCATGGCACAGACGAACAAAATAATCCACATCTAACAATAGTGTAATATTCCTACAAGTCTGATTGCACCTAGAGTGTTTTTTAAGAACTATAATAACACAGAAATCATTAGACTATAATCTGAATTTTAGAGATCGGGAAAACAAAGCTCCAAGAAAGGACTTTTCCAAAGTCATGTGGCTCATTTTTTTCAGTGCTGGATCTCTCATCCAGCTCTCACAATTCCTACTCTCTGTCAGTCACTGGCATTGAAAATCCAGTGACTTTTCATTAAATATAATAGTTCTCAAACCGTGTTCCTGTAGAACCACTGGTGTTTTCATAATCAGATTCGGGTTATTCTAATGCTAATATTGAATATAATGATTAGTTCCAAATTGGCACAAAAAATTAGCTAATGGAAAGATAAAAAATGTTGTTGGTCTTTGTTCTCCCATATGTATTTCTTTGAAAGTTTTGGTGTTTGCTGCCACTTCTTGGCTATAGACAGCAGGTGACAAAAACAAATACTGAAAAACTATGGATTTGCTACCTCCAGGTTGAGTTTAACAGCTTGTATTTCTTTTAAGAATTTGTAGAGTTACTGTTGTGATTTTTATATTGCATCCATTTTGGTAGTCATATTTTTTGTTATACAGAGCCTGAGATGTGGTAGGCAACTGTGCTCATTCTCAGGCTGTGAAGAATAAGATCTCATCCCATCCCACAGCTAGCTTATAGTTTAAATTAGAAATGGGAACACAAGGGAGTTAGTTGGTAGTAATAATAAAGTTAACAGGAAGTTTAACTTTATTTCTGTTAATGGCAAAGTAGGAACCACTAACAGTTTTCAAGCAAGAAAACAATGGAATAACTGGTTCTGTGGATTTTTGTTTTTGTAAGAAAACTGTGATGCAGGACAGTGTTGTCAGTCTGGAGGAAAGAAGCCTTTTGGAACATTAATAAACTAGGCAAGAATTGAGGGCCTGAACTAACTGAAGCTGTAGTAGTAGAGATGCACAGGAAGGAGGCCATGTCTAAAGGAACATGGCGATCAGTTGGATTGAAGAGAAGGAATCGAGATTGAACCCCTGGTTTGTGGCCTCTGCGAGTAGGTGAGCAGATGAGTTTAGGAAGGACAGTGTGAGTTCTGTATGTATAGATTGTCCAGGAACCTGTTGGACATCCAGCAGCCTATGGGGATATAGGGGGTTGCGGAGAAAATTTCGGGAATCGTCAGCATATAATTAATAGTTAAAAACACTGGAGTGATGAATGAGGTGACCCATTTAGAACAGGATTTCTTAACCTGGACTCCAAATGTCCTGCAACTGCCAAAAAGGTTACTTCTGTGGCTTTTGCTATGGAAAGGTCCGTGGCTATCCCTTTCTCACAAGGGATAAACACTTGTTTAGCATAAAAAGGGGCTGAGGGTCCCGAGTGGCTCACTCCTTTAAGAGATGGGCAGGGAAAGCAGTCTCAGTAAAGACAATAAGAAAGGAACAAGAACCAAGGCAGAACGGTGATACTGGAGCCCAAGGGATGGTCCCGCAAGTGGCTGCTGCTATAGTGAGGTCAAACGAGACAGGGCTGTAGAGTTCATTGCCTGGGCGATTTAGAAGATCTGCAAACTTCGATAACAAGGTGGAGTAAAATGTATTTGTATTTAATGAAGCTCCCCCAGAAACACCGTGATTTCTAGGAATTGTAAGAACCGAACTGTAAAGCTACACAAATCCATCTTCTCAGTGTTTTCTGGGCACTTCATACAAATCTGAGCTCCCAGCTTTTGCTTATGTTTTTCATCCTGCCTGCCATGGTCCCTGCTCAACAAATTCTGTCGGCCCTTTACAGTGTAGTTTGTTCTGCTTCCTCTGTTCCTTTTTCCAATGGTCTCACCTATATTGATTTTCCTCTTTATATTTTCATGGTATTATCTTATGTTGCTGCATATTTCACATATTACTGCCGCCTTTTCCCGGTGAGATTTTGCTCCTAAATGCTAATCGTACCTTGCATTTCATCACAACCCCTAGTGACCAAACTTTCATACACTTATTATCGATACTAAATTATTGACTAAATTTAACTTAAGCCAACCATAGTGGAGGAAAAATGTCTTTAAGAAGAAATTCATATGATATGTTCCAAATTATATAGGAGTGATTTATGGATCATTCTTACTACTTGTACTCCATTTCTATAGGTAATCAAGAGTTGATTACATATCAGAGTAAGATATTGATATAATACGTAAGTTTAATGAACTTCTTGGCTTTTATTTGGAATTGTAGGTTATCAGATTATTTGAATTTGTTTCTTAAGTCAATGTGATTTTTTTGTGTAAATTATCTTATTTTTCAAGATGGAAATATTTTTCGGATTTTAAAAGTAAAATATGTTTACAAAGAAAAGACAAGTCTATGAAATAAAAATAAAATATTACTAAGATTTGTATACTATTTTGCCAAAGGCATTCGTTTTGTGAGCATATTTACAAACATAAATTAAGTAGGTAACAATATGATTAACATATGAAACTTAGTCACTTAAAATGCAAGTGACTCATCTAAGATTAAAAATTACAATTAATTATTTTGGAAATAAACCTCAGTGGCAGGTGTTTCTAGCTTTGCTGGATGATAATTTAATCATCTGACTTAAAGCAATGTTATCTATTTCTTTCACTGAATGCTGATAGCATTTGGCACAACCCAGGGTTATGGTAGGAAAAACTGTAGCAGAAAAAAAACAGTACCAGGTGTTGCTTTATGCTAGCATCCAAAAAATTAAAAACTTACAGGATTAGGGAAATTAGCTATATTAGGTTTTGCCGGTTGGCTCTCTTAACATGCTTGCATGAGCAGATACCTGCTGACAGCAGTCCCAAATTGTAGCAGTTACTTGACAGGAAGGGGAGAAGTCCTTAAACCTTACGAAGGATCAGTCTGACACATACTCAAATGTATGTCTAGGCTTTTTTCCTGGAACCTCAATATATATTGACTTCCACAGAAGGACAGTTTTTGCACGTATCCTCACACCATAATTTAATCACGTTGTTTGGCAGAAAGAGTTTATCCAGTTTTCCAAAGGAAACAAAGTTCTTTTAATTCACGAGGATTTCTGCTTATTGAATAGAATACAGTAAAACAAAACACAAAGATGCAGGTAGTGGGATAAAGTAACCTCGCTCATGGGTGGACCACTTGCTCCGGCAAAGTGGCTTTCCCATGTTCCTCAGCCCAGTTGGTGCCTCAGCTGTGCGTCAGCCACCACGTACCTCAGACCTCCCGGTCCTTTGTCATTAGTAAATCATGAATATTACAACAGCGGTCGTGGGCAGCCTTACTTTACAATTAAAACTTTATTGAAATTTTCAGAGAAAAGCAAATGTATTGCAATTAACAAGTTTTTTCAATATCTATGCATGAAAATAATTACAACTGTCAAATGCAATTTAATCACTTCCCTATTTCAGGAGACATTTTATGACTTTACTTCACCCTAGGGCATGTGGATATATGTTAGTTATTCTAGAAGACAAAACAAAAAGCTTACTATAAGAGGCTTCACTTCAGATTATATTTATTATACACACTGAATGGCCTAATTTTAAAGTGAAACTTACCATGCCATTGCCTGACTTCAAGGGAAGAAAACATAGTCAAGTCACTGGGGTGGAAAGACAAGAGTCTGGGAACCAGGGAGGCCAACAGTAGTCTGAAGGATAAATCAAAATATTTTATCTTTGGCTTGAGTCCCTGCTACTTAATCCAATCACAGGTGAGTCTAAGGTCAGCATTCTCTAAAATAGAGCCATCTAATAGGAATAGAATGAAAACTGCAGATGTCATTTTAAATTTTCTAGTAACTTATCTTAAAAAGAAACATTTGAAACTGCTCTTAGTATGTTTAATCCAGTATATCCAAAATATTATTTCAACATATAATCCATATTTTTAAAAAGTTAGAGATATTTTATATTCTCTTTTTTTATATTAAGTCTTCAAAATTCAGTATGTGTTATACTTAAAGTACATCTCGATTCAGACTAGCCACATTTCAGGTTCTGCGTAGCTACATGTGGCTAGCAATACCTGTATTGGACAGTGCATCTCTAGAACATCTAGGGCCTGTGTGCCCATGACACTGAGAAATAAAAGTTCCCTCATGTCCAGGGTATGATATTAAGTTATGGACCTTAGTACCATTATCCATGCTAGCCAAGTAAGCCATTAACCTGGGTCATAAATAGTTAGCTTTGGGACCATCTGTTTTCATGATCGAGATAAATACTTTTTTGGTTTAATCATTGTTTAGTAAAATATTCATAAATTTTAGTTCCTTTATCTTTCTCCAGGTAAGATTCTTTAGCCTATTGTCAAACATGTTATGCCACATCTACAGTCTGTTTTATGTAATGTAAAGAAAAAGTTTTACTTGTACGATTTGTAGTTCATGTGTTAGGAACATGTGACTCTTTACATATTCTGAACTGTTATTAAGAAAAATGGTAATGAATGCCTTATTCTTTATGTTTAATACTTTTCAATAAGTGGGACTATCATAATCTGAATTGCATTTTCTTTTGTATTTCAAGGATATGGAATATTATCTTGTAAAATGGAAAGGATGGCCAGATTCTACAAATACTTGGGAACCTTTACAAAATCTCAAGTGCCCATTACTGCTTCAGCAATTCTCTAATGACAAGCATAATTATTTATCTCAGGTAAAGAAAGGCAAAGCAATAACTCCAAAAGACAATAACAAAACTCTGAAACCTGCGGTCGCTGAGTACATTGTGAAGAAGGCTAAACAAAGGATAGCTCTGCAGAGATGGCAGGATGAACTCAACAGAAGAAAGAATCATAAAGGAATGATATTTGTTGAAAATACTGTTGACTTAGAGGGCCCACCTTCAGACTTCTACTACATTAATGAATATAAACCAGCTCCTGGTATCAGCTTAGTTAACGAAGCTACATGTGGTTGTTCGTGCACGGATTGCTTCTTTGACAAATGTTGTCCTGCTGAAGCTGGAGTTCTTTTGGCTTATAACAAAAAACAACAAATTAAAATCCCGCCTGGTACCCCCATCTATGAGTGCAACTCAAAGTGTCAATGTGGACCTGATTGTCCCAATAGGATTGTACAAAAAGGCACACAATATTCACTTTGCATCTTTCGAACTAGCAATGGCCGTGGCTGGGGTGTAAAAACCCTTGTGAAAATTAAAAGAATGAGTTTTGTCATGGAATACGTTGGAGAGGTATGTTTAACTTATCATACAGCAATTAATGTGTATGTAAGGTTTATACTTTTGAAAAGTTGTCTTTTTACCTGAGTAACATAAATATTTGGTATATTTTGATATTATCTGAAGATATGTATGTAGAAATTCATTTTCAAGTTTAGGAGAAGAGTTCATTGGCATACTTAGAAATAAACTGACGAACAAAATATATATATAATGGCAAATTAAATCAATACAGTCATCATTCAACAAACATTCATTGTTATTGAAGCTAGAATTTAAACATTTTAAAATATGACAGTTTTTATGCAAAAGTCCTAGGAGGAAAACCAGATCACATGCTGACTTTGAAACTTGAAAGTTGTTCATTCATTTGGCCAAGTATGGTTAGGTATAGTTGACAAAACCCTATTTTGTATCAATATGAAAGATACCATAGGGTAAGTAAGCCAATGCTTTGCAAGCAAGTATTATAAAATATACACGTAAGCATTTATTGCATCGATAAGAAAATCAGACTGTATCTGTAACTCAAGATACTTTGAACTGTAAAGACCATTCTCTGAATGACCAAATACTAGCAAACTTATTTTTATACAAATGATACACATTTAAATGTAAAAAATAGTATTTGCCATGTGCCACTTAGTGTTCTAAGCATTTTATGTATTAACTCACTGATTAATGCTCTCTACAACTCTGTGAGGTAGTACTATTATCTCCATCATTATAGATGAAGAAACTGAGGCCCAGAGAAATTGAGCAACTTGCCCAAGTCACACAGGAGTAAGGAAGAGCCAGGTCTCACAACTACAGAATCTCCCTGGTAGACTAGTGGATGAAAGAAAAAAACATGAGTTAAGGATTTGAAAAAAGAAAGGCAAAACTCCAAAATCATGTTCTTCATTACTGCACTACACTGCCTCAAACTGAAGGGTGGGTTGAGCTGTGATTAGATAGATAGATGTAAGTGTGGCAGCATATCTAGGGTTATCAAATCTGATTGGTTTTTTAAATTAGTTGACATTGGGTCACCTATAATTATTTATATTCATTCTAGAATTCTGAAAGTAAATGAGATTCCTCTTTTGATCCTTATACTTTTAGACAATGGCAGATTATTATAAATCACTTCAGGGTTCTAGATCTTGTACAATCAATGTTTTTGGTTAATCAAATTTTTTTTTTTACTTATTAATGAGTATAGCAGCCAAGTTCGATTGGTAACATGAATCACTTTAGATGTTTTTGGTTTCTTTAGCTGAGCATGTGATAAAGCTGTGTTCTTAAGAGCAGAACTGTAGATGATAGTTTTGAACTTACAGAAATTCATGAAAACAGCCTTTTGCACAAAACAAAACTTTCCACATAGTCAACTGCAGATTTAACATATCTTCTCCCCTGTATTCCTCACAAATTTCCTTTTGTAACTGCACATAGATGAGTTATAGAGAAAATATCCTTTTCTAGGATATATACTTGCAAATGTAGTCCTTAACATTCAGTTATGCCCTATAGAGAGCTCTAGTTGTATAGCATTTCGAACATACTAATTATAATGAAAGTAGTGCAATGTTTCAACTTGTTAAGTGTCTCAAATCCTGTTTAAAAAGTCATAAATCTTTTGCGTCATCATTTTTCCTTTTTTTGTTTTCCCACTTCTTTCCATCTGGCTCTTTATGTGAACATTTGTTTTGAAGACACTTGCTTGAATCTCTCACTTTTTAAACACTTGTAGGCATTAATATATTAATAAATTTATGAATGAAGGTTTCTTCAGTTCAGCAATAGCTACATAATATACTATAGCTTTTTCTGTTTAGGTAATCACAAGTGAAGAAGCTGAAAGACGGGGGCAGTTATATGACAACAAAGGAATTACATATCTCTTTGATCTGGACTATGAATCTGATGAATTCACAGTGGATGCAGCTCGATATGGAAATGTGTCTCATTTTGTGAATCACAGTGTAAGAAGAAATACTTAAACTGTACACAGGATTAATAATTCAACTTAGTACTATTAATGATTTTCCATAGTTTGAAAAATAATCATCTTTAAACTACATATGCTTTTAACATTTCCAAAGTACATATTTTAATATGAGGGCCCCTTCTGTTAAGTCACGGTGTTACTGCTGTATTAGGAAAATAAACATTGAGGTACCTACCCAATACCATGCATTCGTAAGAGTCTTTACATATGTTACTACATTTAAACGTTCCAGTAACTTTGAGTATTATCTTCCTATCAGAGGAGGAAATTGATGAGCAGAGGAGTTAAGAGGGTAATATGTTTAAGAATCAAACATAACTACATAGGTGTCTTACAGAGGTTAACACAACTAAATTGTAGGATGTACAACTAAAGATAAATGTATTTCCTTAACATGTTAACATTTTTTATAAAATTTAAAGACTTGTAGAGTATTGAAGGATGTGGGACTATTTATCTACATTATAAATTAGTATTCTTCCTTAATTTTTAATTAGTGTTTGAAAGAACTTAGAATACAGCTGGACTTAACTCCAAACTCTTAGACTCTATAAAAATTATTTCCTAAAATAAGGAAGTTAAAAATTGGGGTTACTGAGTACCAGGTGTAGATAATATAACATTAGGCTTGCAAGGTTGACATTATCTTCATTTAATAGGGATTTTATGGATAACAAGGAAAATGTGTTTCAGAGTTATTTAGATGACCAAATAAGGAGGTGGACCATCTTAAACTTCTGATGAATTTTATACCAAGAAATTAGTGTATGATTGGCAGTAAAATGACAGAGACATCCTGACTCCCTTGTGAACTTTCTGATTGACCTAAAATTTCACGTTAAGGAATTTATGTCTTAATGATAAATTTGAGATATTCTCAAAGCAGATATATTCCATCCAAGGACAATTAAACACTTATTTTGATTTTTTAGTATTCACTAGATCTCTCTTCTTACATATTCCATAAGTTAGTATAGTGTTCTTAAAATACTGAACAAAAGTTCAGCTGATGGAACTCTATGCAATATGAAATTTGTGTTCCACATGCTGATTTGACTTTTTAAATATAGTTATTCTAGTTCTTTAAAGTGTATATGACCTCCTGAAACAGAGGTGAAATGATAATGTTATATGGGATTTGCATTAAAATTCTCAAGAAAAAAAAAGTTGAAGATTGGCAAACTTGTTGAAGCTGCTTAGTGGATACCTGTGGATTTATTATGTCATTTTCTCTACTTTTATGTATGTGTAAATTTTTTTTTTTTTTTTTTTTTGAGACAGAGTCTCTCTCTGTCACATGGGCTATAGTGCCATGGTATCAGCCTAGCTCACAGCAACCTTGAACTCCTGGGCTCAGGCTATTCTTCTGCTTCAGTCTCCTGAGTAGCTGAGACTACAGGCAGGCACTACCACACCTGGCTAATTTTTCTATTTTTAGTAGAGATGGGGGTGTTCCTCTTGCTCTGG